TATAGCTATAAATACATACTTTCATATTTTTCTAGATTTGAAGCAAACCTTCAAACTCCTATCAATCTCTACCAACCAAATATGGCAGTATGGTGTGGGTGTGGGTGTGGTGTGGGTGTGGGTGTGGTGTGGGTGTGGGTGTGGTGTGGGTGTGGGTGTGGTGTGGGTGTGGGTGTGGGTGTGGGTGTGGGTGTGGTGTGGGTGTGGGTGTGGTGTGGGTGTGGGTGTGGGTGTGGGTGTGGTGTGGGTGTGGGTGTGGTGTGGGTGTGGGTGTGGTGTGGGTGTGGGTGTGGGTGTGGTGTGGGTGTGGGTGTGGTGTGGGTGTGGGTGTGGGTGTGGGTGTGGTGTGGGTGTGGGTGTGGGTGTGGTGTGGGTGTGGGTGTGGTGTGGGTGTGGGTGTGGGTGTGGGTGTGGTGTGGGTGTGGGTGTGGTGTGGGTGTGGGTGTGGGTGTGGGTGTGGGTGTGGGTGTGGTGTGGGTGTGGGTGTGGTGTGGGTGTGGGTGTGGTGTGGGTGTGGGTGTGGGTGTGGGTGTGGGTGTGGTGTGGGTGTGGGTGTGGTGTGGGTGTGGGTGTGGTGTGGGTGTGGGTGTGGTGTGGGTGTGGGTGTGGTGTGGGTGTGGGTGTGGGTGTGGGTGTGGGTGTGGGTGTGGTGTGGGTGTGGGTGTGGGTGTGGTGTGGGTGTGGGTGTGGTGTGGGTGTGGGTGTGGGTGTGGTGTAGAGTATGTGTGTGTGTGTTTATGTGTGTGCATGTGTGTGTATATGTGTATGCATATGTGTATGCATACATGTATATGTGTTTAGTATTCTAGTTTTCCAAACCTGATACTATTAGAGTAACACTGAGCAATCATATAAGATTTCAAATATAGGATCACAGCAGATTGCAAGTTATACTTAAAACACCTAAAACATATTCTCACTAGGATCAGCCAGATTACTAGGAAATATTCTGTTCACTATCAGGTAACCTTGGTTACCATCCCTCCACAAGTGAAGTACTCTTACAAAGTTATTGATTACTGATAACTTCTGCTTCCTTTAGCAGTAGGTTGTGAAACTATAAATAGTTCTTGTTTAGGATCTATTTAATGCAACATGAATCCAATTATGATACTGTAGACATATTTCATAAGATATAGTACTACACCATACTATAAATATTGGGGGATTCCACAATGTAACACAAATCAGAAAATCAGAATGTAAGTCATTTCTATCATTAAGACTACAGCACTAATGGAAAAGTAATGAAAATTGTCTAGTAAAACTTAATAAATGAAGAAAAAAAAAAAAAAACATAATATAACACTGCACTATCATATGGATATCATAAAACCACTATAAATATATACTACAGTAAATGTTACCAAGAACTATCTTATAGAGCATAAAAAATAGATAATAATCAAAGTAAGGTACAGTTGCAGTTACAGTTGCCTTATATTTACTATGAAATGACAAAACTATCCGCTGCATATCACCACTCAGAGTAAGTCTACAACACCTTCACACAGTTTTCTATAAGTCAAGTTTTCTATAAGTTGACATAAAGTGCTAATAAAGGGGGGTACAGGGGGGCTTGCCCTCCTGTCTAGAGAATAAATAGAAGGTGTAAAGGTTAGGTTTAGGTTTTGGGTTCGCATGATGGTTTTGGGACTCCGTTTTTAGAGGGTGCATCATTCTTGGTAACAAATACCCATATTACACCAGACAATGGATCTATCACTAAGAAATGTACCATATCTTGAGATTCTGACATTTTTCAGGAAATTTCCCAAATCTCTATGTTTACATCTGCATATAATGTATGCATTTATGTATATGTTTACCAGAACATACTGTGTATATCAGTTTAAGTTTGAGTTAGAGTTTAAGTTTATGTGTCATACGTATTTGTATGTATACATACATAAATGTATTTGTGTGTGGGTGTGGGTGTGGGTGTGGGTGTGGGTGTGGGTGTGGGTGTGGGTGTTGGTGTGGTGTGGGTGTGGGTGTGGGTGATGTGTGGGTGTGGGTGTGGTGTGGGTGTGGGTGTGGTGTGGGTGTGGGTGTGGTGTGGGTGTGGGTGTGGTGTGGGTGTGGGTGTGGTGTGGGTGTGGGTGTGGTGTGGGTGTGGGTGTGGGTGTGGGTGTGGTGTGGGTGTGGGTGTGGTGTGGGTGTGGGTGTGGTGTGGGTGTGGGTGTGGTGTGGGTGTGGGTGTGGTGTGGGTGTGGGTGTGGTGTGGGTGTGGGTGTGGGTGTGGTGTGGGTGTGGGTGTGGGTGTGGGTGTGGGTGTGGTGTGGGTGTGGGTGTGGTGTGGGTGTGGGTGTGGTGTGGGTGTGGGTGTGGTGTGGGTGTGGGTGTGGGTGTGGTGTGGGTGTGGGTGTGGGTGTGGGTGTGGTGTGGGTGTGGGTGTGGTGTGGGTGTGGGTGTGGTGTGGGTGTGGGTGTGGTGTGGGTGTGGGTGTGGTGTGGGTGTGGGTGTGGTGTGGGTGTGGGTGTGGGTGTGGGTGTGGGTGTGGGTGTGGTGTGGGTGTGGGTGTGGTGTGGGTGTGGGTGTGGGTGTGGTGTGGGTGTGGGTGTGGGTGTGGGTGTGGTGTGGGTGTGGGTGTGGGTGTGGGTGTGGGTGTGGTGTGGGTGTGGGTGTGGTGTGGGTGTGGGTGTGGTGTGGGTGTGGGTGTGGTGTGGGTGTGGGTGTGGGTGTGGTGTGGGTGTGGGTGTGGTGTGGGTGTGGGTGTGGGTGTGGGTGTGGTGTGGGTGTGGGTGTGGGTGTGGGTGTGGGTGTGGTGTGGGTGTGGGTGTGGGTGTGGTGTGGGTGTGGGTGTGGTGTGGGTGTGGGTGTGGTGTGGGTGTGGGTGTGGGTGTGGGTGTGGTGTGGGTGTGGGTGTGGTGTGGGTGTGGGTGTGGTGTGGGTGTGGGTGTGGGTGTGGGTGTGGGTGGGTGTGGGTGTAGATGTAGTGGGTGTGGGTGTGGGTGTGGGTGTGGGTGTAGATGTAGTGGGTGTGGGTGTGGGTGTGGGTGTGGGTGTGGGTGTGGGTGTGGGTGTGGGTGTAGATGTAGATGTAGATGTGGATGTGGATGTGGATTTGGGTATGGGTGTAGGTGCATGCATGTGCATGTGTTTGTGCATGCACAGGAGTGCAAGTATGCATGTGTGTGAGTGAGTGTTTGTGTGTACAGTACCTTCCACAAGATGACAACTGCCAGAATCAGAAATACACATCTTATCCCACAATACTAATTATTGGTGTCTCGACGCCTCCCCTGAACCTGACAGGTATGCTAAACCTCAAAGACAAATACCATACATGTCAAAATATCCCCTCCCACACATCTCCCTCCCACAACCCCCAACCACACCTCGCCACTACAACAACACAACACCAACGCCCACACCCCCAAAGAAACCACCCACAGCCGAACCACACACAGAGACCCCCAACACACACGAGAGAGGACCCTCCCACCCGCCTCTCGCCTCCTTTCCTCCCTCCCCCACGCCCACAACGTCACCCTGAGCCACGGGACTGACCTCCTCTCTCCAGCCTCCTCGCCAGTGGGTGCAGGGGAGAGCGGCAGGAGATAAATCCAGCGCAAAAGGGGAAAATTACGTGAGGATTTAAGCGATTACCTGTCCAGGGCGGTCGACTCCCAACGCTACCTCGCTCGCCCGAAAGCCATCGTCTTTAAATCATTAATTCTTCATCGGCGGGGAGGAAAATCACCTGCCTTATCTCTTGGGTGATGTCTATTCTCCTTTTTTGGATATATATCTCTTCGTCGGTTGTTATGAATAGTTTCGGGAAGGGGTTATTTCATTCGCATTTCGTATTAAAAGAAATGCGAGCGACGCCTCTGGAAAGCTTAGAAGATGAGCTTTGTTTTGGTATTTTTACTTTACATTTTGTGCAGAAAATTAAAACTAAACCAAATTAAACAAAACTAAATTAAAACTAAACAAAAAATTAAAACTAAGCCGCAAACATCACAATGAAGACTGTATTAAAAGATAGCTTTTTTTTCATTATACAAAATATCACGATGTTCATTATAAGGGACTGATCTTAACAATCGACTTTATTATTATCTTTTTATTACATTTTTTTCGTTTTTCTTTCTCTACTGGTCACCGAGCTGTTATTATACATTTGCTTTTCAAAATAACAGTTACTTCTGACTTGGTGTTCTGTTATACAGTTTAAACTAATCAAAAGCATAACGTATCTTTTTACTGTTATGTAATTAAAATTCATCTCCTGTTAATGTACTACATAATGATTAACATGTCACTATTATCGTTTTTTATTAAAGTGAAAACTATTTCAATACATAACCTCGTAAATAGGTGTCTGGAAATCAGTTTGAAGAATACGCTTCATTGCTCATGTAAAACAAGAATATTCCGCTGAATACAGGATCACCACATCGTCCTCTATTATCATATATCATATCATGAATCAAATTAATTCTACCATAGATTCATAGATTACCATAGATCTACCATATATTCGTATTTTTCTTGCATTGTGATTAGACTCATTACTCATTAAAATTTACTATCGCGATGGTGTAAAACGCAATGTCAAGTTCTTAGCCAACATTGACATTATGCAAAGTATTCCATTTATTTCTATTATTATATTATTATATTATTATGCTTACTCCTAAATCCATTTATTCAGTCATCAGTTATACTGTGTTATTCACATTACTCATGAATCTCCAATAACAATTTAAGTCAGTAGTTATATTATTACTTATACTGTTACTGGGAATATTTTATTGTTATTGGGAATATTTGATCATTATTAGGTAGTTAAATTGTTACTTTATATTATTATTGGAGATTCAGTTATATTGTTTTACTCACGTTACCCGGTAGTTTCATTGTTACTTATACTGTTATTGGGAACATTTGAATGTTATTGGGAGTATTTTATTATTACTAGGTAGTTAAATTGTTATTTAATATTGTTATTGGAGATTCAGTTATATTGTTTTACTCACGTTACCCACGAATCTCCAATAACAACACAGGCATCATGGCGGCTTTCGGGAGCAGACGACTCGCTCTTTCTGTCAAAGATTATCTCCTGTTTTCCTTTCGTGGAAGATCACAGTTGATGAGTAAGTCACTGATGAGTCATTTGATTGAAAGTGATGTGAATTGCAGAATGTGATGAGAGGAAGGTTGTTTTATCTGCGTAAATATGGATGTTGCCGGGTTTGCTTGCGATGTTATTTAATGATGATTGTAATAATTGTTATTGTATTATACGAGCCTGAGCTTTAAGTAGATTGACATGAGTTGAAATCTGTCATTTCTAATGTTCCCTTATGTAATATCATGTTATATATTAAAAGTTATATGGAAAGATCCCTTCAATTACAGAAAATCTTCCCAGTGAATCTTCTAAAAAAAAAAATTGGCTGCAAGGTCGATAAGGGTCCATCAGAGAATTCTGATTAGTGCATTTGAATACATCTGTGGTAATCTTTCAGACTACCTTTGCATAATTGAGTGCAGCGATTATTGTATCCATGGATTCCTCTCACTCTTTATCATCTAAATATATAAAACTTTTGTTGTATACCCCTCCTATTAGCAACAGTCTTGGTCTTGATAGCAGGGGAGGACATGACAGTTACTGGAGAAATTGTGGGCTTAGATATGAATCATATACACAGAATCAGTCATTGTAGTGTCTAATGCAGAGGACTGTGCCCCTGCAACCTTCCTCCTGGGTGATCCCTCAGCCCTTGCCTCAACTAATTTTGCATGATCTTTCCTTCTCCCTCTTTCCTTTTCTTCTCTTCTTCATCCCCTTCTGTCTACTTCCTAAGGTGGAGAGCCGTGCTGAAAGGAGAAAAGGCTGGATTTATGTCAGTCCTGAATGGCCACCAGGAGCCATGGACACAGTATTCCCTTGGTTAATTGCTTAGCTCTTACCCCTCATGGGGACCCAGAGGGGTAGACCTTTTCATCTCACCATTTATTAATGAAGAATTTTTACCCTTATTAGGGTAAGGAGAGGTCAGACTATGAAAATTACTTGTTTGCATGTCTTGACTATTATGTAGTAGTAGTCACGTGCTACAATATTCCTTTCAGAGGCCAGTGTAAGTCCAATATTGCCAAGATTAACTTCCGTAGACATGACCTCTCCATGAAGTTTATGTTGGTGAGTGTCCTGTCATGTCTGACCATATTAAATTCTTCCCTGTCAGTATCAGAAATGTTGGCAAAAAAAAAAAAAAAAAAAAAAAAAAAAAAAAAAAAAAAAAAAAAAAAAAAAAAAAAAAAAAAAAAAAAAAAAAAAAAAAAAAAAAAAAAAAAAAAAAAAAAAAAAAAAAAAAAAAAAAAAAAAAAAAAAAAAAAAAAAAAAAAAAAAAAAAAAAAAAAAAAAAAAAAAAAGAAAAGAAAAAAGAAAAAAGAAAATAGAAAAAAAGAAAAAGAAAGAAAAAGAAAAAGAAAAAGAAATAAAAAAGAAAGAAGAAGAAGAAGAAGAAGAAAAGAAGAAGAAGAAGAAGAAAAAAAAAGAAAAGGAAGAAGAAAAGAAAAAAAAAAGAAAATTGCTGCCGGTCTACAAGGGTCCATCAGAGAACATTGATCAGTGCATTTGAATACATCTGTGGTAATCTTTCAGAATACCTTTGTGTAATTGAGTGCAACGATTATTGTATCAATGGATTCCTCTCACTCTTTATCATCTAAATATATAAAACTTTTGTTGTATACCCCTCCTATTAGCAACAGTCTTGGTCTTGATAGCAGGGGAGGACATGACAGTTACTGGAGAAATTGTGGGCTTAGATATGAATCATATACACAGAATCAGTCATTGTAGTGTCTAATGCAGAGGACTGTGCCCCTGCAACCTTCCTCCTGGGTGATCCCTCAGCCCTTGCCTCAACTAATTTTGCATGATCTTTCCTTCTCCCTCTTTACTTTCCTTCTCTTCTTCATCCCCTTCTGTCTACTTCCTAAGGTGGAGAGCCGTGCTGAAAGGAGAAAAGGCTGGATTTATGTCAGTCCTGAATGGCCACCAGGAGCCATGGACACAGTATTCCCTTGGTTAATTGCTTAGCTCTTACCCCTCATGGGGACCCAGAGGGGTAGACCTTTTCATCTCACTATTTATTAATGAAGAATTTTTACCCTTATTAGGATAAGGACAGGTCAGACTGTGAAAATTACTTGCTTGCATGTCTTGACTATTATGTAGTAGTAGTCCCGTGCTACAATATTCCTTCCAGAGGCCAGTGTAAGTCCAATATTACCAAGATTAACTTCCGTAGACATGACCTCTCCATGAAGTTTATGTTGGTGAGTGTCCTGTCATGTCTGACCATATTAAATTCTTCCCTGTCAGTATCAGAAATGTTGGCATTTTAGCCACCCAGCCAATTCCAGTTACTCCAATCTATACCACTTTCCCAGTGCCTACCCTTCCTCCTTCCCACTCTATCTGTCATACCAGACAATCTAAAAGTTCCACCCCATCTTCTACCACATCCTCTCCTACACCTACCACTCCCTCTGCTCTTCGGACTTCTATTCCCTCTTCTCTTTCACATAAGAATATCTCCCTACCCAACTCCCCTCCAGAAACTCTTCAAGACATCTAAAAATTCCTGAACATGACTAAAGATAATGTTCCACTCCCCCATCCACCCTCTGTTCCTATTTGCTCTACATTCAAAATATTTGCCAATGTCCATCCTCCTCTTTCTCAAGTTTCCTTCCCACTCTCCTGAAAAATGCCCCATCCTCTCCTCCTCCATGTACATCACCATTCCGTCTTTCTTCCCCATTATCCTTACCACTCCCACCAGGATACTTATGTGACTCCCTTACGTCAGCAATGTCCTTCTGAGGATCCCTCCCCTCCTGACATTCTTCCTCCCCTCCTGACATTCTTCCTTGATAATTGACCACTTTCCCCTGTTCCCTTATTTCATTCTCTGGATTCTTCCATTTGATTGATTCATATTGGCTCTTTTGCAGTTTTCCACTTTTTTTTTTTTTTTCTTCTTTTTTTTTTTTTTTTCTTTTTTTTTTCTTTTCGTTTTTTTTTCTAATGTTAATTAAATTTATAATTTTGATATTTTGGTGATTATAATGTTATTATGTTATTCTAGATGAGATTGGTAGGATAAGTAGTTGACCCCTTGATGACTTGTTTATTCTCTTGACCATTTCTGCAATACTGATAGAAGTCCATTTGATAGGTTCGGATATGCAGATTAGTTCTAGAAAATCACCGAAGCATGAAACTCATTGCTAAATAATTCTACTCATCAGTAATAGAAATGCAGGTGTCCAAGAGCAAAAGGGATCTATAATAGTTCCTTCATGCTAGTATGCGCATGTAAGAAAAACCTTGAACAATCTTACCTCATTAGTAGCTACATGTTGAATGGTTTTCTTGGAAGACGTTTATAGAAAATAGATTTCTGGAGGTTGCAACTTTTGTGTAACTGATCTCAGTGGTCTTGAACACATTTATAAAAACACATTATCCAAGATTGCAATGTTAAGTAATGACAGATGACTTAGAAATATGTGTGCTTCAAGAAAAGTCTATAATATAAATCTTCCAATGTAAGTACACTCACATATATAGGCTTTTTTTTTCCAAACCACTCAAAGCTACTGAAAATTTATAAAAGCAATGTTAGCTCTCTTTCACACTCCATGTGAAGGGTGCTAGTTTTGCTAAGTGACTAAGGAAACATAATTCTGTTCTGAGGTGGGTGTCTAAAAATGCTGCAGAGGGAGAGGGTGGGACAGAGGAATGTAGACTAGGAGAATTAAATGTCAAGGTCATTTAACAAGGTCAGAATCAATAAGTGGTAATCTAATTAGGGTAATGGAGTGTCACAGTTGATCTTTAGTAATACTAAAATCAAGGTCACAACCCTAGGCCAGTTTCTGATGTAGGCAACTCCTGATATAGTGTTCATCAAATTTTGATTTTGAAAAATCCTTTCTATAATATAGGTTTCTGTACATGAATCTTTCTATATCTCTCTGTCAGTCTATCTTGCTTATATATGTGTGTGTGTGTGTAATCATATTACATTAGTTTTCCAAATTGTAACATGTATAATTGCACATGTTTTTCTTAAACTCATATATGTTAATGTACATGTGTATTACAGGAATGACAGTATCACCATGCAGCACAACCACAAGCCCAAGCTCTACAACTCCCTCTCCCTCCCAGACAGAAAGTAAAGAAGCGGATGTATATAACGCATCAGAAGTGGAGCAGCTGTTGATCAAACAAAGTAAAATGGATATGGTAATGAGTATTTCATTTATGTATTTGTTTGATATATTTTTGAGGATAAGGAACAGTTGGCCAGTTGTGAATATCCTTTGTTTCACTGTTTGTAACATTATTTGGATGTTTGTCTGCTTTTTGTGTCATCAGCGTTGCTTTCATCTTTACTTTGATAATACACTTTCTGTGTGTGTGTGTGTGTGTTTTTACTGAGAAACATTGAAAATGCAGTGTACAGTGTTTATTTATATTTATTTTGGGACTGAAATTTTGCAGTGAATAGAGTGTTTTAGTTAAGGAAAATTTGAATTATAAGAGAATTTAAGATATACTTTTGAATGTTCTTATGTTTGTATTAACTGTGTCAATGTACCGTCCCCCATAATGCTATTAACCCATTCACGACAGGCATGGCATGTACGTACATGCCATGCCCACTGTGAGTTTACTTTATTAATTGATTTTACACATAAGTGGCTCCACTTGTACTAAGTTACTGATGGCCAATTATGAGTATTACTTGTCTCATCTTTTTACTCTTTTCCTTGATTTTTAAAAATATTTTATGTTATCATATATAACTGTTACTAATGTCGATAACATTATAGTAATTATATTGTTTAAAATAAAAATAACACCATTGATATTGATAGCATTTGTAATAAAAAAAGTTTTCCCACAAATTCAAGGAAAGGTAACATCAGGTAAACTATACTAATTAACTCCTTTGTGGCTAAGCATTATCAGAGCCATCTATATGCAGAGACATTTCACAAAATTTTAAAAAATTAGCACAGCATTTTCCCGGCGACATTGGGTTATTGTCAGTACTGTTATTATTATCATTAACATCATGAATTTTGTAATATTATTGAAACACTATCATTGATAAAGAAACTCCTCCAAAAATCAAAAAAAGGTAAACAGTTGATGCAGGTAAGACTCCATGGTGACAGTGTAATTGTGGAGCCAGCACAAAGGGTTAAAGGTTATGGTTTAGGACATTGATTTAAAGGTTAATAATTCATTTTAGGATAAATTTGTTTCTTTATACATTCACCAGGTATTGTTTGTTTTGAAAAGGAATTAAATCCACATACCAAAAGAGAAATTATGTGTAATTAAAGCCTCCAGGTTCCTTAGTATGTGTAAAGAAACTGTTCATTACCTAAGTGTATTTCTTACTTGATAAATACCACTCAGAGTAAAGGTTAAGCACTCTATAAGTGGGGTATGGCCAGTGGAAGAAATATTGAAAATTGTCAAAATGTAGGTAATTTAATGAAAACCTGAATTTCAGTCCTGAAAATTTGTAGGAGAATTTATTTTTATCATACTTTTTAAGGATTCAGATTTTGTTCCCCAAATATATTATCAGTCCATTAGTTTCATATTTGGATGACAACATAAACCCAATGGCGCCGGGTGTACAAAAGAAAAAAAAAACTCTACGCTTAAACAAACAAAGGCGGCACGCTGACTTTGAGCGCGTGAGTAGGGGACATCAGCCCGAATCACTGGCTCGCCGCGCTTTGGCGCGCCGCCGGCTTTCGAGCTCTTTGTTTACACGCCGATCGGCGTCACCCGGCACCAAGGGGTTAAACACAAGGTTAGTAATATCTATCACTTTGCTTCATTTTTCAGCCTGTCGAAATGCCAAACCCCTATGAGAGAGAGAAATTACAGTGCATACTCTGCAACTACAAGGTGCATTTAGACTACAAGAATGTTAGATTGCTCTCCCAGTTTGTATCACCTTTCACTGGACAGATTTACGGCAGGCATATTACCAGGTTATGTCGGAGACAACAATCAATACTGGAACGAGAAATACAAAAGAGCAGAGATGCAGGTGAGATGCCAAAATAAGCAGTTTTTGCTGTCTGTGAAAAATAGGAAAACATAAAGTGGGTGCTTGAGTTGGTCACAGACTGTAGCCCAGTCATTTTGGTCTTTTATTAAATAGTGTTTTTAGCTTAATTTTTCTGTTTTCCATTTCTGTCTTGCTATTATTTTTTCTCTGTTGATTCTTTTTCAAATTGACCTTTTTTTTTTCTTTCTTTCTTTTTTTCTTTCTTTCGTTCTCCTCCTTTCTGCTACTTCCTTTATTTCTTTCTGTGATAAGTAGACACAAAAATATCTTTATATTCCAGATCAGTTTTTGCATTTGTTCCTTTCCACTTTCACTATTTTCTTGTTTTGTAGTTCACTGGAAGTCAGAAATCTGAATTGATTTTATAAATGTTACTCTTTTATGTTTAATCACTCACTGTGAAAGAGTACATCCTTTAAATTCTATAAGATCATTATAAAACAATTTATCTCCAGAGTACGTCTAATCTTCTCCCATGTTTTCACAGGTTTCATGCCAGTGATGCTGAAGAGTGTAGATTTCTTGAAGGATCCCAAATTATTTGACCCCAACAACCCTGTTCGGCCACATAAATATTAGTGATCAGATACTGGTTTTGTAGATATGCACATATGAAGAGATACAGTGCAGTCCAGAAATGTGACTTTTGTATAAAATACTGAATTAAAATGTTGAGTTCTTTTTTTCAGTTTTTATTAACCTATTCTGCAGATAAGGAGAAATATTGTGAAGTGGAAGTTTAGTTCTTGTGTTATTGTTATTTGACTCTGCTTTAATATTTTTTATTTCTTATTTAATTTATTTATTTATTTATTCATTCATTTATTTTTTAGGAAATGTTGATTCAGATATATTAATTTGCACGTAATAGCTTACCTTTAAATAAAATAATGTATAAAGAAATATTTTTAAACATTCATTGTAAATCTACATAAGCAAATATACAAATAATAGTGAAATTCTGTGTCTTATCGTAAGAACAAATATCTGGATGCTGGATTCAGGCAGTATAGTGAGGTATTAATACTAATATTGTTTATACATAAGTACTTTTATGAAAACATAATCACCAATGAAAGATTTATTAGGGCTACCTGAATCTCAACTGTATACCTCTTCTGTAAACCATTGGTCACAGGTTCATATACTGATCATTGTAGTATTTTGGGAACTTTGTTGCACAAAGATTACTGCTCAGCCACCAAGGAGTCAAATAGTAGGCCCTATATGACCACACCTGATTCCCCTATTCCTTGATTTTTTTTTTTTTTCTTTATAATGCTATTAATATTGATCCTATTATTACTGGCATTATGATTTATGATGTTAAAATACTAATAACAATTTAAAAATATAAATTATCTTTCCAAAAATCAAGGAAAAAGGTAAACTAGTCGGACAGGTAGGACTAAGAATTGACTCAGAGACAAAGCAGATGTAGAGCCATATATATATATTAACACAATTAAAATAAAATTACAGTGGACAAGGCATTTATAGCTTGTCATCATTAACCAATGAGTTAAGTTTTATTATTATTATGAATGTTATCTTTATTATAATTATTAGTATCATCATCATTGTTATCATTATAATGTTATTAACAGTATTAATAATAAAACAAAACTTTTCTTTACAAAAATTCAATATAGAATAAATGGGTGTGGTCACTCATTAACCCCTTGGCAACTAGGCACTTCTGGAACACTATATGTAATCAAAATTAACAAAACCAAAGTATAGTGGACAGTTCATTTGTACATGTAATCCCGGGATCAATGGGTCATTTGATATTGTGTAAGATGATTCCTTTCATATGCAAGTCCTACCATTTCATAAATAATACTGCTGAAAGGTGCTATTTTTAATGACAGGTAAGTTCCTTCTTAATTCTTTATTGTGGATACTATTTTTTTTTTTTTACAAAAGGCACATATACATTATATGGATTAAAATAAAATCCAATTATTTTAATTTATGTACTACCAGGATTTTTATTATGGACGGATCTTATTCCAGACTGTTGTTTTTGTACCATAATTCATTTTTATCTTTTCTTCAGTTATCATGTTCATAATGTACTAAACACTTCAATTTTTAAATTTCTGCATCTCTATAGGTTTATTAGCATAAAACAATTTCCTTGAAATATCTAGTACACAAACATTACCAGTCATACAGAATCTTGCAAGTGGAATGTCAGCACGCTATAAAGCATGTCTATGAACCTAGTATATAATGTGGGTCATGTGTCAAGACCTGAATATATTGGTTTTAATCACTGTTGAGCATGGACACCTGGACCTATTATACCAAATGGTTTACTCATGTTGTAGAAGCTAGCCATTGCACCTAACTGGAACCTTTTGTTAGAGGTTGGTGTCTCACATTTCATATTTTATTCTGAAAGACCTTCAACAAAACAGTATAAGTGAAGCTTTAATTTTTTTTGGCTAGGATTAATCTATCAATGTTGTAAGATCCTAACAGCATCTTTTTTTTTAACCAGTTCTTTAAGGATATTTTGTAAGACTTATCAAAAAATTATTCATGAGTTTACGTATTCTGACAGGGAATATTTAATTAATCCAGTTGTTACAACTTCATTTGTATAAAATTATATGATTTCCTTAGTACAGGAGACTTTATTTCAAATAACTTGCACATGGTAGATGGTAGTGAGATCAGTTATTAGGTAATATTTTGTGTAATTAGATATTTTACTGTCAAACTCATACTGACAAGCACCTTTTCATTTTGCTTTATAGTAAAATTTCTTTGCCTTACTTTCAAAGCAAAAGTTCCTCAGGTCTTTGGCTTTGGCTTGGTTCCTTTTACCCATTCCAGAAGAGGTCTCAGTCCTTTCCCAGCAAGAGCACTCACTTCAAAGGTTGTGAGTTGCTGTGGTGCATACTCCTTCAGGTCATCAAAGCGCATCGCGTTCAACAGTTCGTTGCTGGCACGACTCAAGACACAGTCCGTTTTATTCAATACTATTGCCACCTGAAAAAATAAGTAGACAAAGTTAATGCAAGATAGTTTAGTATTTACATAACGTGCATTAAATGGGTATTTGTGTATCATGCAGCTTTTTATACTGATAATACAATGGTGCAGTTATCAAATTTGAAAAAAATATCCAGCATCTACTTTTTTGTGTCAGACAGCTCAATACACATTAATATACTTCCAATTTTCCTATAGTAAAAATATAAAAGCAATTCAAGACATATACAAACATTATTCAGAAATTTCATTATTCCATAGGCACTCAAGATAATTATGTAACCTTTCAAAGATGCTTTGTGCTTAATGAAAATTAGATTGGAATGTTAAAAGTTGTAAGAAATTGAAATAATTATGTTTGTATAAAAATGTTCAATTATCACTCAAGCTTTAATATAATTCTTAAAAAGAAACCCTTAGGTAAAGCTTGTATGAGCCTGAGCTGTCTGGTTCCTCTACCAAGGTTCTAAGTAATTTTCAGATTATTATATGTTACAATATGCCCCAGGCTAGTTTTTGAGAAAAAATGTTTTTCCTCCCAGAATGACTGGCTGAAATAATGTAATATGCAAATATTGAAAATCTGACATCCATAAGTTATAAAAACAGGCCCTTTCTGTATATCTGGATTTCCTAAAATTTGGTGGTAAAAGATATAGCATTAATACTCTATGATATCCCCTTTCCTTGCTGTCCAAAGCATGTGCTAATATTACTTAATGGATAATCCAGGACTGATACAAAAGCTGATTAGCATAGCTTTGATAGCAAATGAGTAAAAGTTTCTCTTATAAATATCCCAGTCTCCCCTAAATCTGGCTTTCCTGATATTCTCTGTTTAATATTATATTCAAGATATCATCATAATTTCTTTAAGCAAGGAATGATTGTCGTAGATGGTCTCAATTTATGCCACATCTTCAATCAGAAATAAATCTCACTTATCTTACACAATGTTACATCAGTTTCTCTAGAAAAAAAACATATTCTTCCAATAGCAATATACATTTATTTCAAGTTTATCAACCCAACTACTGCCTAAAAAGGATTTGTACTTTTAATGGTACCGGTATCCAATTACTAGTATTTCTATCCTTTTCAATATTCAGTATTTTCTTAAAGACTGTATATTACCAGTACATAATATTCTACAATTATTCATGTATAGGATGTGATCTATTTTAGAACTGAAATTATGATTGTATGATACCTATATATTCAAGGTATATTCTTCAGTTCTTGAAAACTCAAACATATATAAAATACAAATACAAATATACAAACCACTCTAGCCTGCCCCCCCCCCCCACACACACACATGCACAGATATAGACGCAGATATATACCAGTTCAATGAAAATGCTGAATACATCTCCCAACATTTATTTATATTTTACATTTCAGGGAAACTCCAAAATATCTCCAAGTTAGTCAAAGTAAAATGGATGAGGTTGGCCAATCCCTTAGAGTTGAACATCCAGTTACTTTATTGCTTAATTAAGCTGAAATATGAAAATTTAAACAAAAAATGTAAATGAGAATGAATGAATCTTTACAGTATATTTGTTGGAATGAACAGTGTTCAAATATGATAAATTATTATTATCTATCCTGCAATTTATATTCAGTAGCACAGGAAGCTACTGTATTTTCACTATGTACAGGGATTTTCAGGGTTGCAAATTCTATTGAACAAAGCTAGTATTCTATTCATGTCTCAATTAGAAAGATTAGGAATTTGGCATCATCTCAGGATTTTGTCTCAACTGAGGCTGCACCGGACAGAGATTTTCAAATGTACCATCAGGTCTTCTACTTCCATATATCCAGCTAAATTAATTAAGGAGTGTAAATAACTTGCAGGGCTAAAGAAAACAATGTGTAGGTACATACAGTGCATGTAACAGGAAGGAAAGCAAATCACAGATTTTGTATCACATTACTTCTAATTGAGTCACAAGCATCATACCATAGGTTTTACTGCATTCATAATATAAACAACTCATTCTTATGTTATGCTAATGTTGCTCTTTTTCCTGGGGATGGCTGTCCAAAATTCCCTTCCCTTGAACTGGTAAAACTAGCATACAGCTGTGCATATCTTCTTTGGTCAGTCTGTGTGACTGATGGCTTCACCTCTTTCAATGCAGCTTCGATGTGCCTATAATAAATCTTAAAACTAGACTGAGTGGAGTCCTGCTTTTTGGCACTATTGGGTTTCACAGACTCAGAAAAGGCATCATTTGTTCTTATCTGATCATCTGACATCTCATTTTCAGAAATATAGCTCTTTTGACTATATATGACTCTTTTCTTTTCCTTTTCAATTAGGACTTGTTCTTGTATTTTCTCAACATTATGTGCACCTTGGTAAACTGAATTTTCTTCTGGGTCTTCCTCTTTAATTGCAGCAGCATGAAATGATAAAGGTTCTTCAATATTGTCTTTATCATCTTTGACACCAGTTGTATCTCTCTCCTCTTTAACCGGTGGGATAACACCCTTATAAAGATCATCACCAAAGGCTTCCTGAGCAACTGCAACTTGTGCTGTCGACAAAATACTTTGTAAGTCAGCCCCAGAAAAGCTTTCAGTTAAACTGGCAACCTCTGACCAATCTACTTCTTCTCCTAAGTCAACATCCTGACTTAAAACTTCTAGGATTTCTATTCTGTCCTTTTCTGACGGCATTGGACAATATACACACTTATCAAGACGGCCTGAAATGGGAAAACACAGTTTATAAAAACATGATCTCCTATGCATCATGCAGCAGAATTTGATTATTGCTCAATACTATTCCAAATACTATCTTGAAAAACAGTATTTTGAAATACCTAAAAATTGACCAAACAAATAAGCATTATTGGAAAAAGCAATAATAATTTCCTTTCAAAATCATGACAAAAAAAAAAAGAGGTAAAGCACAGTTCAAAACAAATCACCTGGCCGAAGCAGTGCAGGATCAATCAGGTCTGGCCTGGAGGTTGCAGCCAAGATGTAAACTCCAGTGAGTCCTTCAACACCATCCATCTGTGTAAGTAGCTGATTCACCACACGATCTGTCACCCCAGTGCTATCATGTCCACGCCTTGGAGCAATCGACTCAAATTCATCAAAGAACAAGACACAAGGTTTGGCACTTGAAGCTCTGTTAACATGAAGAAAATTCTTTTTAGTATTGTACATTATTAAAACAAAATGAACACTTTGTTGTATCTAAATAGTTGAATCAGTTCAATAGAAATGTTATATCTATTCTTTCCCTATTATTATCACTAACTCTTCTAATCAACTAACAGATTCTTAAAAGATTTATTACACAAGACAAGACAAACAAAAAAGGAGAAATATCTGAGCTGTTAACATTTGCCTGACACTGATTTTCCTCCACTTAAAACAATGAATTTTACAAAAAATAACTATATTTTCTTTTTTTTTCACTTACCTCTCAAAAGCATCTCTAACTGCCTGCTCACTTGCACCAATGTACTTGGACAAAAGCTCTGGTCCCTGCAAAAATAATAAAGTATCAATATTGGATCAAACATATAATGTTTTCTAGAAACAATATCAAAATAGACAAAATGCAATAATAAAGTTTAAGATCAATTTCATAATCAGATCAGGATTGTAACATCTATGAAGTACAAGACAACAAACCTTGACTGAAATGAAGTTCAGCTGACAGTAAGCTGCGACAGCATTAGCCAGGAGAGTTTTGCCGCAGCCTGGAGGGCCATAGAGCAAGACCCCAGACCGCAATCTCAGATTAACCTTGTTGAACAAGTTGGGATATAATGAGGGCCATGTCAGCGTCTCCTCTAAGATCTTCTTGGCTTCTTTCATGCCACCCACTTTGAAGCCCTCATCAGCCTTCTTCTCCGATAGGGATATCCCTGCAGAGGTTACGTGATGATTATTTATCCTTACTATATAAATGATTCAAGTCATCTTTTTAATAATACTTCGTTTCACATGTACTCAAATGACAGATATTGGGCTACTACATTAAAACAACTTCAAGTACAATTATACTGAATTTTGCTAAAATTTGCTGAATTTTGCTAGTCCTGATTATCATGTGTAGGGGGAGGTGGCTATGTGCATTAGTTTGCAAATATGTCTGCAAGGAAACATACCAAAATCTGTGTCTACAACTCACCTCTTAAGGCCAGAGATGTGTAGCCATCAAGAGCTGCATCCACGTCACACTGAAGAACTTTCCAGGGTGTGCTGCTTTCATGAACTGTATTACTTGTAGTAGTTTTACACAAAGAATTTATGTCCTTAACAAAATCACTATTATTTTCTTTCATGTTTTCCATTATTTCTCTTGAAGTGCTATTTCTTTCCCACCTATCCCTTGCTTGGAAGAAAGTTCTGAAAGCTAAATGGTTCAGATCAGGGAGCACAAAACTTTCAGTCCTTCTGGCAATGACTTTCATATCCACCTGGTACTTTTCTGACTCAGAATACCCACAGAATATGCAGTGCTCATCAGCTTCAGGGAAGCACTGGCAAAGAGAGATTCCCTTCTTTGTGGCTGCAAATTTCTCACAGTGTACATTGAGCATTGCCATGAAGGCCTTTACACGCCCTTCTGTTTCCAGTGGGGGAATCTTAAAGGTGCAGGGAAAGTAGTGACAACCTTGAGGACTGACTAGAAGGGGATGGACACTTGTTCTTGCTATACATGTCCCAACCACCATCACTGAAGGGGATTCTGAATCAGAACAAAATTGTAAAAGATCATCTAAAAGTTTCCTGAGCATGTTAACAACCTGCATCACATGTTCATACACTGGGCCCGATTCTTGATCAGTGCCTTCCAGTGGAACTAGATAGTCAAGATCTTCCAAAACCACAAGAGAAGGTCTCCTGAAAATTGCTTCTCTGAATAACAATTGTAACTTTTTTTCTATAGTCTCCATCTTCTTTCCTTTTAGTTGTTTAAAGCTGACTACATCACAGTAGATGTGATATGTGGATGCAGACAAATCTTCAATAATAGTCTCCACTAAGCTGGTCTTTCCAGAGCCTTTACTACCACAGAGTAGAGCAAACTGTGGAACTGTTCTTGGTGCTGACATTTTAAGTCCAAGACCCATCACTATATACTGCTTTAGATTAGTCATGACCTCGTCTTCACCAAGATATGAATATTTTGCAAAGAAATAAGTATCCAGATCACTGACTGAGTTTGGTATATATGGAAGACTGGGTATCTGAGTCAAAAAAGTTGTTTCTAATATTACAACTGATTTCTTTGTAAGCTTTAAGGGTAAGCCATTCCTTGTTGAAAGGCAAATATCAATGTACTTTTCTTCTAACTTAACTTCCATAATGGTGCCTGGATTTATGAAGACCATACACTCCTCAACAAGATTCCGAAGTAAGGCTTTTAAACCATCCAAAAGAGTTTCTTTTTGAATATCATATGTATGTGCTAGTAGTGCAACATCAACAGAAGTTGGCACTGCAGTGATACTGGATTCAGTAGATCTTATCTCCACAGTACTTGTAATTTCTAAATTCATCTGCCTTCTGCAGCAGTTAGGTATCACACAGTTGTTCCTTTCAATAATCATGTTCATTTCTTGTATAAAAAATGTATTATCAGGTCTTCCCCTTACAAAGTTTTCCCACACAATTACTGCAAAAAGTTTTTGGCTTTCTGGTTCTTGCCTAATACTTGACTTATTTGTTTTCTTCCCTTCACTTGTTTTACTTTCCTCCTTTACATTACTTGGCTTTTCAGAATTTTCTCTCGGTGACTTAACTTTCCTTATATTTGCAACAAAGTACACTTCATCTTTGAAGGCAGTAAAAGCTATGCTCTCCCTACTAATAATAACTAAAGATGGATGACTCTGCAGAATACTAGACAATGGAGAAGCATCGCATGGAAATGGAAGCACTCTGTAGCCAAGACAAATATTTTTTCTTACATGTATTTTCTGCACTCTTTTTTGTTCTTGCAGTCTGTCAATCACAAAATCTGTGAGTTTTCTGATCATTTTTTCATTGAGATTGTCCCTACTTTCAATCTGTTTATCATCATTACATGCTTCTTGGGAATTTCCCTCAAAATCTAGATCACTGAAATCTTTGTGGTCCCCATCTGCATTTTCATTCACAGGATTAAAACTAATGCGTGTGTAGTCTTCAACTCCCTCATTTTCTGGAGGAGGATGAACTTCTACTTGAGTCATGGGATGTAGAACCACACTAGGAACTAAAGGGTCAATACTTGTAGCAGTAAGCATTATGCACACTCCACCATCAAGCCACAGGGGAAGGGTCTGCCCTAAACTCATTACACGCATCTGGCTTAGGATTGCCGATTGAGCACTATCAACGTTCAGAGCCAAATCTTGCCACTGCATTAGCGATCTAACAGTAACTGAAATGGCAGAGCAACTTGGTGGTACAGGAATCTGCACTAGTATCCCTACTTCACTCTCACATATATCATTGCCTTTTAATACTTCCCTTCCCACCAAAATGCTATTTTCTTCTCCAGTGGTTGGCATGTGCATGTCTCCAGCCCAGGACAGTAAAATGCTCTGCCCTGAGGAGACTTCAAGCCGGAAGGTTGGGGTATGGGCAGGATGAACGAGATGCATCCATGATCGCGGTAGTGAAATGAAGCAGTGGCGAGCGGACCACCCCTTCACCACCACAGAACGGGAAAATGCACTTGCTTGCATGATTATGGATCGGTTATCGTATCCTACTATATTTCATTTATCTTCTTAACACTCTGATCATACTTTTTCACTGTAATATGATCTATTAAGAGTTTTGCATTTTGTATTTCACCATATATACCAGAAGGTATCACATATCATCTGTAACCTATCCAAGCTGTTTCTTAATAACACTGAAAGTAAGAAGAAACATAACTGTAAACCATACTGAAATATTAGAGACTTCATGAACTGCAGTAAGTAAACTATCTAAACACTACATACAGCTAAAAGTGCATCATAATATTAATTGTGAGCATGCTTTCTAATATTCATAGGCATTATATTTTAAAACTAAACAAAAAAATAAACATACAAGAAAAAAGAAAAAATCTTGGTAAATCAGTAAAACTGTGTGTGTGTGTGTGTGTGTGTGTGTGTGTGTGTGTGTGTGTGTGTGTGTCTCGCTTGCTTGCTTGCTTGCTTGCTTGCTTGCTTGCTTGCTTGCTTGCTTGCTTGCTTGCTTGCTTGCTTGCTTGCTTGCTTGCTTGCTTGCTTGCTTGCTTGCTTGCTTGCTTGCTTGCTTGCTTGCTTGCTTGCTTGCTTGCTTGCTTGCTTGCTTGCTTGCTTGCTTGCTTGCTTGCTTGCTTGCTTGCTTGCTTGCTTGCTTGCTTGCTTGCTTGCTTGCTTGCTTGCTTGCTTGCTTGCTTGCTTGCTTGCTTGCTTGCTTGCTTGCTTGCTTGCTTGCTTGCTTGCTTGCTTGCTTGCTTGCTTGCTTGCTTGCTTGCTTGCTTGCTTGCTTGCTTGCTTGCTTGCTTGCTTGCTTGCTTGCTTGCTTGCTTGCTTGCTTGCTTGCTTGCTTGCTTGCTTGCTTGCTTGCTTGCTTGCTTGCTTGCTTGCTTGCTTGCTTGCTTGCTTGCTTGCTTGCTTGCTTGCTTGCTTGCTTGCTTGCTTGCTTGCTTGCTTGCTTGCTTGCTTGCTTGCTTGCTTGCTTGCTTGCTTGCTTGCTTGCTTGCTTGCTTGCTTGCTTGCTTGCTTGCTTGCTTGCTTGCTTGCTTGCTTGCTTGCTTGCTTGCTTGCTTGCTTGCTTGCTTGCTTGCTTGCTTGCTTGCTTGCTTGCTTGCTTGCTTGCTTGCTTGCTTGCTTGCTTGCTTGCTTGCTTGCTTGCTTGCTTGCTTGCTTGCTTGCTTGCTTGCTTGCTTGCTTGCTTGCTTGCTTGCTTGCTTGCTTGCTTGCTTGCTTGCTTGCTTGCTTGCTTGCTTGCTTGCTTGCTTGCTTGCTTGCTTGCTTGCTTGCTTGCTTGCTTGCTTGCTTGCTTGCTTGCTTGCTTGCTTGCTTGCTTGCTTGCTTGCTTGCTTGCTTGCTTGCTTGCTTGCTTGCTTGCTTGCTTGCTTGCTTGCTTGCTTGCTTGCTTGCTTGCTTGCTTGCTTGCTTGCTTGCTTGCTTGCTTGCTTGCTTGCTTGCTTGCTTGCTTGCTTGCTTGCTTGCTTGCTTGCTTGCTTGCTTGCTTGCTTGCTTGCTTGCTTGCTTGCTTGCTTGCTTGCTTGCTTGCTTGCTTGCTTGCTTGCTTGCTTGCTTGCTTGCTTGCTTGCTTGCTTGCTTGCTTGCATGCTTGCTTGCTTGCTTGCTTGCTTGCTTGCTTGCTTGCTTGTTTGTTTGTTTGTTTGTTTGTTTGTTTGTTTGTTTGTTTGTTTGTGTGTTTGTTTGTTTGTTTGTTTGTTTGTTTGTTTGTTTGTTTGTTTGTTTGTTTGTTTGTTTGTGTGTGTGTGTGTGGTGTGTGTGTGTGTGTGTGTGTGGTGTGTGTGAGTGTGTGTGTGTGTGTGTGTGTGTGTGTGTGTGTGTGTGTGTTAGTTTGTTTGACCAACAGTACTGAAGGAGGTAAGTTTAACTTTCAAAACATCTACATGCACCATCAGAATAATTTACACAGTAGTGAAAGAAATTAATACACAAAAAATTCATATACAATATAAATTTATCATACATTATTACCATTTCCAATGTATGAAGCAAATATTCGTACGAAAAATTAGATTTCTTGTTAACATTTTTCTGTTAACCAATACAGGTAATCTTTTTTAATCATTTTCCATCTTTGCAACAAAAAGAATAATGAAAAGTGAGAATGAATAAAAGAATGTAAGTTACCATCCAATAAATCAACCTTTGAAATCATATTTACCAAAGACAAGATTCAAATACCACTAACAGCGATATGTTTTGAAGCATAAACATGAACTTTTGAACTCTGATATATAAACATCAACCTTTAAACTTTGATATATATGAATTTACATTTGGTACATACCTGGACACAATAAAGATTTCAGTGCAATTTCTATGCACACAAATAAAAAAAGCAAGAAAGATGATCATAATAATGAGATAATAAAAAGCATCTAATCAAAACTTGGTACATAATCAGTGCATACCCAATTCCCGTATGTTGATTGGCAGCATCTCAGGTACTTGGAGAGTTACTATGTTCACTCCTACTGTTGGGACTGTTGTCATGGAAATATCTGGCTTGTTGAGATTAAGCATTCTCCTCAGAAGAAGTGTTTTCCCTGTGCCTTCTGGGCCTATACATAGCAGCATCTTTCACTCTTTTGAGTATGCTGGTGGAAGTGAAAATCAATAAATAATGGATTATGGGAATAAACCAAGGTAAAATTATTCTTCAGACTTTCTATTACACAAATTTTAAAATTTACGATTATCATATCACTTGATCTTTTTTTTTTTTTTTAAAGCATACTTTTGTACATACAGAAGGTTAATGTAAATTCTGCTGGATAACTTGGGGAAACCAAAGCAATACAAAAATAAATCTTACTACTAAAAATACACTGGTACTAAACCTTATACAGAATCTACCTGTGGTCTACTGGGTGAAATCTATGTATGAGTTAAACTAAAATAACATCAGTTATTAAAGTGTATTCCACAAGTTTGAAAACAAATTTTTAATTGATGTATGTGATGTCATTGACAACAACTTCTTTTATTTTTTCCACCGGGCACTGAAAGAAATACTATAATAAAATGTATCAAAATTCTAAAAAAGTAGTCCACACTGGCACATTATATGCTTGGATTCCACCTGTGTGTCCAACAGATTAATTACAATATTGTAAACAATGTACCATCTAAATCAGTAGTTGTTAACCTAGGAGATGTCAGTAATTTCAAAGAGGGTGCAAACCTTGGGGAAAAAGCAAGAATTTCCCTAATCATATTTGTTAATTCTCTTAACCCATTCGCCACGGATTTATGTTCGGTCCCCTGTAGTTTTTGGTAAATTTTGTTACATACAGATGGCTCCACATGTGCTCAGCCAGCAAGGAGTCTATCAGTAGACCCTAGTTACCGACCCTGATTTTCCCATTCATTGAACTGGCGGGAAAACTAATACCATTGCTTTCGATACTGTTATTATTGTTATTGATGGTATGCTTATTGAATTGTCATTAGAATATTTTTGACAATGAAATGATACAAAAAAAAACTTTCCTAAAGTGAAGGAAAAGGGTAAACAGGTGAAATAGGTAGTTCTTGATAACTGGCTATTTGGTGATTAAAAACTTGTGGAGCCATCTATGTGTAAATACAATAAATAAACGTGTATGAAAGTGGGTATGGCATCTATTCTTGCCATATGTGGCGAATGGGTTAACAAGTACATGGTCAAATAATGAGAAATGTAATAATGATGTGACTGATTCATACTAAGGACACTGCCTATTAATAAATTTCTTTAAAATCTGGGAGGGGATTTTATTCATAGATGCATGGGGAGCATGGAGGGAAGGGCAAATTCCTAGAGGAGGTGTAGTAGTAAAAACATTAAGAACCACTCATCTAAATGGTTTCACTGAAGTCCAACTGATAACTTTGTAAATCTACATCAGTCACTTCTGACAACTCTTCATAGAATAGATAATCAGCTACAAGTAAATTATTACAAATGCAGTAAAAATGTAAATGAGAATGAGTAATTCCATCATACACGACATGCCGTTAATATTCTGATACTAAATTTTTATCAGCATGTCTAATTATATGATCCGAATGTAACTTCACAGCATTAATTACATATCTAGCCCTCTGGATTTCCTCATTCATGCCCACTACTACTCATATATGTAGGAAATATAC